TAACCCCGTGGATGTTTACCCAAAAAACTGCCCAAGACTCAAATTTTATTCTACTTCTTCTTCTCTTCCTTGAGTTTCTCAGGGTAGAGTTTCACAGAATTATAAGGATGCCTTTTAACAACATTTTTTAAAAAGCCCTTTTTAACGATTTTTAGTTAACATTTAGCAATTCTATGCAGGGATTTATTACGTTAATGCCAACAATGAATCATTAACTCTTTATATTAAATTTATTACATCAACTCCCAAGTCCCAGACAGTTGTTATTTAACGCTTTCTTTCCTACAGTATGTTGCACGTTAGAGTAACAACACTCTTTGAGTCATTATAAGCCAAAATAGCATGACTATGAGAAACTAGATAGAGTAACAAATGAGAAAGCTGGGTTAATGTAACAAAAGAATGCAACAGAAAAACGGTACAGTTTACAAATGCATAATGTCTGTAATGTAACGTAGAAATGTGTGGTAAGTTTTGGGATTTAAAGAGTTAATGTTTTATGTTGAGAGTTTTCCATTTACCAACTTAAACAATGCCTCTGCACCCCTCCCTCTCCCCCTCCCAAATTACTCATCTTTCCCTACATGGACACTGAAATATTCACAATTTCTCATTTAATACCCTCTAATTTTTGTGTAAATTTGCACTGTGCCTTGCTATCTTCCTGACCACAGCTGTTGCAGTTTAGCTCCCAGATGCTCATCTAGGTTTTTAGTTAAATGTTAACTTTATTTATGCATCCTGAACTAAGTGACACTATATTGTTCTTCTTGTGTTCTCACACTACCTCATGCTGTTAGACACTAATTATTTACATTAATATCTTGACACATTCAGTAAGCAAACATTTAAAACTAAACACATAAATAATAATAATATCATGGATAGTTTTTGGAAAATGAGATCATAAAAAATAAACATCTTTGTTTCAAATGATATGCATCAGTTGTTGAAGACAACCAACATCTTAAAAAAAAAAACAACTGTAAAAAAAATAAAATACTGAGATTAACTTTGAACATTGGAATTTACTTTTGTTTGGAATTTCACTTTTGTTCTTTGTATTTAAACACTTCAACTGATCCTTAAATCTCAAAAGTGATGATATAAACTAACATTGATGAACATTGTAAGTTTCTTCTTCTGCATTCATCTGAGGACATAACTGCCTTCTTTCCTATGCAATATTTTAAACTTTCTTCCCCCAAACTGGTGCTTCTTCTACTTCTTTCCGTTCATCTGTGTGATATAAATGCATTGTGCCATATTTACAGCAAGGCTGTGATATTTGTGCCTTTCAGCAGACACATCCAACTTCATCGAGCATTTGCTAACCAAGTTAATTTCCCAAGATAACAGATACTGCTACATTCAATATGCAGAATTCCTATAGGACCCATATGTTTGTTTTATCAATAGCTGGGAAAAGACATTTTTTATTTTAACAATTGTATCAATACCAAACTTTCAAATTTGCCTGTTGTCTATAGAAGATCATTATCATCTTTAATACAATGTATTGTATTGTGATTCTCTGTTGTCTATAGAAGATCATTATCATCTTTAATACAATGTATTGTATTGTGATTCTCTGTTGTCTATAGAAGATCATTATCATCTTTAATACAATGTATTGTATTGTGATTCTGAGTCCCTGCCATAGGACGTTGGTAGTCTTGTCTATCCACAGCCTTCTGTCTCATGCATTTTCAATAATTTCAGATACAGATGACTATCCATGTCATGATGCCAAACTGTCCAGCATCTTCTCTTGTGGTCTCCCTCTGTCTCTAATGTTCCTACTGTAACAATGTATTCCTTTTTTCTCTTTCTTACGACATGAAAAAGGATGTAGATTGTCTCCTTCCAATGTGGGTGATTAGTTCTCTTTGTGAGTTAATTTCTTTCAAGACATCTTCATTACTCTATTTATCTGTCCAGTGTGTTATCATTCCTAATACCACATCTCTGGGTCATATTCTTTGCATTCACTGGCTGCAAACTCCAGCGGCAAGTGCTGGTTGTTCTTCCACTGCTGGTAGTCGTGTTGAAGAACCTGAGTTTTGCATACACAGCCATTTTGCAGATCTTTCTTCTTTGATGCAGACTGTTGGTTAGTGGCCTTTCAGGCAGATGCACTCTGCCTTTGAAGGAGGCATTCGTAAACAGTCGAAACTTACGACATGCCTGTTAGGGGGGCAGTGTGTGTATTCTTCTGTTCCCCACATGAGTCCCTTGAAATCTTTGGGTCATGATTCAGCACATCAAAGACTGGTTGAGATTAAGTCTACACTAGTTGTTCATTGCAGGTTTAGAGGTGTATCTCTGTCAACACACTAAATTCTTCTTCTTCTTCGCGTTCACTGGCTGTAAACTCCGGTGGAAAGTTCTGGTTGTTCGGTCACTTCTGGACTGCAGTCCTGTTCCAGAACCTGAGTGTTGCGTGTGCATCAGTTTGACAGATCTGTATGCAGACTGTTGGTTTCTTGCCTCTCAGGCAGATGCACTCCGACTTCGAAGGAAGCTTCCAATTAGTCGACTCTTACGACATGCTTTTGGGTAGGCAGTGGGTCTATTCTTGTTTTTCCTACAGCAGGGCCCCGAAACCCACACGGGGACACTAAATTAAACAAAGGAGTCTTGACGTTGTTGCAGTAGGGGTGGTTGTGGGGGGGGGGGGGGGGGGGGGTGTTGTGTTTCCTAATAATGCTGAGAGCTATGCTGACAGTAGCTTAGAGACCAGCAAGCCCTTCAAAGCCAAACAGGTCAAAAGGTAGAGAGGAGACAGAGACACCAAGGTCTTCCAGGGTTGGGAGTCCAAGCATGGGATCAACATCCCTAACTTTGTCAAACCTTTCAAAACAAAACAGAGCCCTTGAAACAGAGCCAATCTCAGAGGGGACGGAATGCTGAAAAAGAACAACAAACTAATCCCTGTGTCCCAAGGGAAATGTCTTGGATTGAAACCAGACATTTCAATAAACACTTCCAATACTATCTACGGATATACACAAATTTTATCCCACATTCTGAAAAGAAAAGTGCAGTTGATCATCGGTCTAATTCTGTTTAATTGTGGAATGAATAAGGCAAATTTAGAAATATACTTAAACCAAAGGTCTAACTTCATGAACAGTGTAATCTAATTCAAGCAGGCTTAAAGAACACCAACAACCTAATTTAAAAAAAAAAAAATACCTATCAGATACTTAGAATATCTTTTTTCCACACCTTGATAATATAGGGCTAGACTTACATTTTATAGACCAATTATCAAATACTACAGTATAAATAACAATTATAACAATTTTAAATAATACAATTTTAATAAACAATTTTAAAATTCATGGTACAAACTAAAAACATATTATATACACAGTTCTAAAAAAAAAAACTCTTAACAACCATGATTTTTTACCAAAAAACAGCTAGGGTTGCCCCTGTGTTACCAGCATCCAAATGGAAGCAAAGATAGTAGTAACACTAGAACTCCCCATACATTTTATATGAGTGATTTACGCATTGTAAGGACTGGAACTCCCCATAAATTTTATATAAGAAGAATCGCTGCAGAACAACTGAGGCCATTGAAATGGTATGATTTACAAACTGTAAGGACTGGCACTAACAGATGCAGCAAAAGAATACACCAGACAATATTAAAAACTGAAAGCTATCAAACCAAGGATAAAGGAAAGTTGGCATAAGACTTAACTATTTCATCACCTAAAAGATGTTTGCTACACAGACCTAATAACCATGAACTAGTCTTCTTCTTCTGTTTGTTCACCATCTGTAAACTCTGTGGAAAGTTCTGGTTGTTCATTCACTTCTGGACTGCAGTCCTGTTCCAGAACCTGAGTGTTGTGTGTGCATCCGTTTGACACATCTGACTAATTTGTATGCAGACTGTTGGGTGCTTGCCTCTTAGGCAGATGCACTCTGACTTCGAAGGAAGCTGCCAATTAGTCGACTCTCACAAGATGCTATTGGGTAGGCAGTGGGTCTATTCTTGGTTTCCTATAATAGGGCCCCTGAACCCACATGGGGAGCCATGAACTAGTGAATTTAGAAACGAAAAATCAATTCAGCTAACCAAGATGGAATGGAGCTCGGTTCTGAACCCTTTTGCCCCAGAGAAGCTGAAAGGTAGTCACTTCTGGTTGTGCCACGTCCCTGTTATATGGCCATGCCCGCAATGACCAGTTCTCAAAAAGGGTAAGTTAAATTCCATTGATTTTGTATGATCTAGACCAGCACTGTGTTTAATAGGCCAGCATATAAATACGGCAACTAAAAATAGCCTTGGGGATTAGGATTGGGGGGTGGGTATGACCCCAGTGACTTTATGGAAGCCAATTTAATGTCAAATTTTCCCATAAGCCTCATTGATAGTTCATGATATGAGTCAAATGACACATTTTTTTAACGCTCAGTTAAGCTTCATTCTGTTCAAGTTTATTGATTACCTCATTATTTATACCCATACAGTGTTTTAAAAAACATTTTTAAAAAAAATGTAAATATATTTTTCAAGAATTTATTAGCAACGTGTGTAATATAGTTTTATTTTTAAGGATTTACCCCCCAGAAATTCATATGGGTTTATTCCCAAATTAAACATTTTTTTTTTAGCATTTACGAGGTGGACAAGTTAAAAAAAAAAATGCATTCTTTGTGGAAAAGGATCAGTCACTGTACACCTGGTATCCCAACAGATGCTACTGAAGCCAATATGCACACTCTTAAATGAATTTAGCTTCTTCTTTTCTTCACTTTTGACCGCTTTGGGTGTCAGAGGAGAAGCAGGTAAAAATAAACCTATTTACATGCCCAACAAAATACAGAATAAAAAACGAAAAGCAAAAAGTAACACATCGCACAAGATTACAATAATATCCAGGAAAGAAGAAAAAAAAGTGTTATAAACATTGTATTAGCACTCAACAGAAAGAGAGAGAGCAAAAATAACTAACTAAACGAATCAGTTACAATAATTCTCAGTTAGTGAGAATTTTGGGAACCTCCCAGGGAAATTCCTCACGGCCGAAATGTCCATAGCAGGCTGTCTGCTGGAAGATTGGTCGACGCAATTGCAGGTCTCTGCAATTAAGACAAATACAGTGAAGCACATGAAAATGGTTAGGACCTTGTTTCGATCAGCTAAGCTTTGGAAAACAGTCCACAAGATTCTGCAAGCTTAATCTATGGTAGGTATGTTTAGATAAGCTTTAGGGAAAAAAAACACATTGACAACATTCTATAAACCGTAGGGTCAGCTAAGGATAAAGACTTTTCCCACACTTTCAGTCATATTGGGCACATAGGGCTAGACCAATATTTTTAAAGACCAGTCGGCACTCAGTGGGTGATGTGGTCAACATCATGCTTGATGCCTTTACTTCCCAGGACTTCATCTGGTACCCATTTAAGACTGGGTTGATGAGCGAGCCATGGTCATTCGTCTGGACCTGAACCCACCACCTTCGGATTCACAGGCGATTGTGTAGCAACTAAACCAGCTAAATGTGAAGTAAAGTTCTGTCTTTTCACACCAGTGTGATCAGGCATATGTTGTTAGACCCACATTTTACAGACCAAACAGCAAGTAAAGGGTGAGGTGATCAACAGCACGCTGACTGCCTTTACTTCCCATAACTATTCCTGGTACCTATTTCAGGCTGGAAGCCAAGGTAAATGTTTTTTTTTAAATCAACTCAGTGCAGATATTCAGCTAAGCTCTAGAAAAGTATTTATATATTTATGTGAACTAGTTATATATTTCTGACTAATGATTTGTAAACACAAAAAAAGAAGAAGAAGCTGTAATGGTTAAAGATACCTAGCCTGGCTCTCCCAATGATTTATATGTGTATGTATGTATGTGTATATATATATATATATATATATATATATATATATATATATATATATGCTTACTATATATATATAATATATATATATATATATATATATATATGCTTACTATATAATAAACACAAATAACACATCCAGCCATGTCATTTCTTTTTTCTATCTAATCTATCTATCTGTCTGTCTACCTACCTATCTACCTATCAATCAATCTATCTATCTATCTTTTCCCTTTTTTCTGCCCTTGACCTTGCAACGGAGTGTATGCTATAAAAAAAAAACAGAAGAAAAATATCCCTGGATGTTGCCAAGTTTTAAGAATATTGGAGCTAATATATCGCAGAGGACAGACCCTGGCCTGTCAGGCCAAAAGTCTTGGGTTCAAATCTGCACCAGATTTATTTAGGCACAAAACTGACTTTGGCTTATAGGTAGACCCAGCTTAAAAGGGAAGGGCACCAGACTACATCCTGGGATTAGGTTTAGGCGACGGATCAACATCTTTGCACAAGAGTAGCAACCCATATGTGCTCCATTCTACTTCTGACTCAAGCCTGAGTCCGAAGAATCTCAGCACAGTGCATGAACTCTGCAGCACCGGCGAGGATCTTCAAATATTTTAGGTAGATTTTTAACTCCAAACTTTGCCCAGGCAGAGCCATTATGTTACTCCTTGTCGATTTCCAACTGTCAAGGGATTTCTTTACATCCAGCACTTGAGGCGGACGCCATGCCTCAAGACCATGCAGCCCCCATCCTGGGAAGTAAAGGTGGCCAACATGATTATGACCACATTACCGTATGAGGGCCGACTGGAGCATAAAATATGCGTCTACCATCATATACCACATACTCCACTGACATCAAAATGGTTCTTTTTTTTTAAACTGTTGAGAAAAGTAAGAGATGGGAATTTATTTTTAAGATTACTCGGTTTCAAACATTTTCTATTTCAGACAAAAAACACATTCATTCAAATAGTCTTCTTTGGAAAGTTTGTTACATGCAAATTAAACTAATGCGGAGTTCACAATTAAAGAAACTAACAGTAAAAATAGTGTAAGGCAAGCAGACCTTTACTGAAAATAACTTAACTCTTTGAGTCCCAGGGAGTTTAGCATCACAGGCCCAGGGGGTAGTAAACAGAGTCATAAAATCAGCGCATCATGCATATATTGGGCTTCTAGGTAGGAACCTATGAACGTATGATGTGTTACTTGGGACTCAAAGAGTTAAACTCTCCTGCTTGGTGCAAGCCACAAGAACATATGATAATTTGAAATAACCAAGGAAATCACAATGGCTTTTCCTGAATTTCTGACACAGAGATACACAGAGATGCAGTGAAATTTGGTGATGTGATTTTGTATTTTAATGAAAAGGATTCAACTGTGCATTATATGTTAACTGGTATGCACATGATGAGAGACAGCGATATGTGTCAAACAATAAGTTGTGTAATGTACTGTTTGCGTCCGCATTATATAAAGAACAGTGAGTGCTGACTACCGCGTTAACCACTAACGGTCCAAATGTTCAAGATACTACTGAAAGACAATAATGACAAGCGATAAATGTTCACACAAGATAAAAGTCAGATGCAAAGAATAATAAGACAGGATATTTTAAATATTAAAAAAATTTTTCTCTCAAGTCATTGGAAACAAACCAAAGCAAAGCAAAAAAAAAAAAAAAAACTTACTTGACAATTTTTCCAGGTCGCAAATCAAAATTGTCTCGAATAATTTTTAACAGATCCTCCTCGCTCTTTCGTGAGGTGCCAAAACTAAATACTGTGATGGACAGTGGCTCGGCTACTCCCATCGAATAAGAAATCTATAAATTTATAAAATTAACATAAAAATATCCATTATGTTGCAATAAGAAAAAAAAAAGATTTAAAAATTTCAGATGTGACCATTTGTAAATGAAGGAAACTGAACATTAAGAAAAAATAAATTCCTTATTTCAAATTAATATAATTAACACATTAAAAAGTATGGAAATGATGCTGTGACCATGTTTAATGTTAAGTCTGGAAATGATACTGTAACCGCATTCATGTTAAGTCTGGAAATCATGCTGTAACCACGTTCATGTTAAGTCTGGAAATCATGCTGTAACCACGTTCATGTTAAGTCTGGAAATGATGCTGTAACCATGTTTTATGTTAAGTGTGGAAATGATGCTGTAACCACGTTCATGTTAAGTCTGGAAATGATGCTGTAACCACATTCATGTTAGGTCTGAAAATGATGCTGTAACCGCATTCATGTAAAGTCTGAAAACCAAATAAATAAAAAATGTAACTAGGAAACTCTGCATAAGGAATGACTGGTAGAAATGTTCACTTGTGTTTATTATTAGTCTTTCCTTTTTGTTAAGCTTCCTAGTGACATATCTTGGTCAGGTCAATTAACCAAGAAAACAGTAATAAAAATACTAAGCTAGAAAACTTAAACATATTTATTTTAAAGTATTCTACATGTATCAGTGAATAACATAAAGAAGCAATGTCATATAAATGAAAATGCAGAAAGATGTAATGAGAGTTTTGAAAAAAACAAACAACAAAAAAAAAACAATTACTTAATCAAAAATAAAGAAAGCGTTCATGAAAAGACCCTATTTATAAAACTTAGCATGTACCTGAACCAAAGCTCGACGACACAAGCCAGACTTCACCAAAGATTTGGCCACCCACCGAGCAGCATAGGACCCGCAGCGCTCAATCTTTGCTCCATCCTTCCCAGAGAGTGCTCCACCTCCATGGGCTCCCCATCCCCCGTAAGTGTCCACAATGATCTTCCTGCCTGTTAAGCCAGCGTCACCCTGATATATTTAAACCAAAATTTAAAAAAGATACAGTTGATCTGTTTCAATAACAGCTGGCAAGCACACCTGCACTGCTCTCCTAGACAATGTAAGTAAAGTAAAGATCCCTTTTCACGCCTTTAGGAGCATTGAGCACATGGGAAAAGCACCCATATTTTCACAGACCAATCAGATCTAGGTGGGTAATGTGGTCAGCATTACCCCAGCCGTCTTAACTTCCCCAGGATATACATCCTGGTACCCATTTTAGACTGGGTCCACCAGTGACGCCCCATACCGTGATAAAAATCCACGCAGACAGCAGTGGGTTTCGATCGCAGTACGTTGGAATTATGAGTCGGACTTGCAACGCCTAAGCCACGGACGCCGCTCCTAGACAATGTAAACTAAAATAATTAACCCTGGAAGTATGCAAAGGCAGTTCTTTAGCATTATACTCTACGAACAGGACACTGCAGGCTCAACTACCACATGCATAAAAAAAATATTGTACAGTCCCCCCAGTGTGCCTGTCAAACAGGACCCAAAACACCCCAGCACATTCTGCAGACCTGCCCACTCTACCTGCAACTTCAAAAAGACACCTGGCCTCAAGAGCAGAGTGTGCAGAGCAAGCTATGGGGAACCATGCAGGACCTGCAGCTGACATGAGAGTTTATAGAGGCAACCCACCTGATGGTTTGATCTGAGCATACGAAACCGAACGCAAAGAAAAAGAAGAAGAAGAAGCATTATACTGCCAATCGAGTGTAAAGCATTCAGTTTTCCCAGCCTCATCTAAGGTTCTACTGTTCAAGCGCTTATGGAGATTTTGAGACAAGCCTCACTGTGAAGTTGAGTGATTTTATGTATTCTTGTTTGTAACTAACTGTATTACTGACCATTTATGTCATACGCTGATGAAGGCTTTTTAGCCACAACAGTCACTGTGTCATTCGTGATTGTTGTATCATAAATATGATTAGTTCTGCTTATCTGGGTTGTTATTTGTTCACATATGCTAGGCCGCAATATACAATATTCCTTTTTCCCCCCAGAGATTTCAGAGGAAATTCTGAAAACTGGTATCCAAAGTAATAAGCTGGATTGATCCTGGAGTCAAAGTAGTTCAAAAACAATCAATCCTGTCAGTGCTGAGGAAAGTACTGGCTTATCAAAAGAGATCAGGGGAGGGGGGGGGGGAATCTATCTTCAGAATTTGCTTTGATCAATGCATGCTTTGAATAAGATAATTGTATAAAGCTGATAAAACTGGTTGTCTCCGGCAATGGCGGTCCAAAGCCTGGATGTTTTTTAATTACAAACAAAAAGAGGGTGGGAGGGGGGAGAAGCCCCACAACCTGTAAAAATATTCTGCTACACAATAAAAGGCAATGAAATGGACTAAGGAACAAGGATATCCAATAGAAACCCTAAGATGGACACTGATGAGAAAGGCCAAAGGTGCTGAATTGGATTCTATTCATGAGCGAGCTCTACGGGTCGTCTAATGGCACAACAAGATGAAGATGATAAAATTGTACTCAACTCTTATCGGTGACCTTTTATTTTTCTTTCAGCATTCCAAGGTTCTCTTCCTGCAATATCATCCATCTCCATTCACCTCTGTGAGTGGCCTTTTCTTTCCAGTTGGCGGCTCCAAGTATTTGTAGGTCTTCTGTATATCTCCCCTGCCTTCTTGGTCTGCTTTATGGTGTATTTCCATTTGTCTTGTTTGTGTATGCAGTTTTGGTTTCTCTGTTATCTGTCATTCTCTATGCCCCAACCATTGCAGTCTATTAACCCTCTTGGTGCCAGTAATTAGTGGTCATTCAAACTGTGAATTTTGTTGTGACCGTGCATATGTAACATTGGATAGACAGAATACCAGTGTGGGTTAAACTGACACACAACACATACTTCATCACTGAGATAAGCTAAAAAGGAGGAAAAGTAATGGACAAACAAACAATTTGCATCAAACTCTAACCGACCTGTGGTCCTCCAATGATAAACCGTCCAGAAGGCTGCAGGTGGTAAATAGTGTCCTGATCCAGATACTTGGCTGGGATCACTGGTCTGATCACCTTCTCCATCAAGTCATTCCTCAGCTGCTCCAGAGTGACATGCTCATCGTGCTGCACAGAGATGACCACTGTATGAACCCTCACAGGCACTGTTGCTCCGTGTTCGATTCTGTACTCAACTGTCACCTGGTTATGACAGCAGCATGATGTTTTAGTAACTGATTCAATCAGTGGTGCCCAATTACAGAAGATCTGTAAACCCCCTCTTTTTTTACAAGTCACATTAGAAGAAATAAAAGAGTACATTTAGATTAGAATTAAAAAAAAAACAACTGATGTTCTTGTGTGTAAATTATATCATGCACCCCGAGGGTTGACGGTTTCCCAGATGCGAAAGACTAACATAACACACTGCTACACAGGTGTTTCAGTAGAATGATTAACTCTTTCAGTCCCAATGAACACATTAATACATTTATAGGTTTCTATCTAGAAGCCCAATGAAGGCAAGATGTGCCGATTGTATGTTTTTCTTTACTTCCCCTTGGGCCTCTGATGCTAAACCTTATGGGACTGAAAGAGTTAAATGATTAACTAACAAAACCCACTGTTGCACATGTGTTTAAATAAAATGATTATATAATTAAGTAGCATAGTCCATTGCTACACATGCGTTTCAGAAAAATGATTAAACCTTTAGGTAACATAACCCATTGCTACACGTGTGTTGTAATAAAATGATTAAATCATTAAGTAAAAGGTAAAGTCGGGAGATGTGAACCAGCCTCACTGTACACGGTTATAAACCATAAGTGCTCTGCAACCAGTACAGACAGCTGTTAAGAAACTGTCCGTCTGTGTCGCCATCCGCACCCAACTCCGAAGCTACAGTGATGCTCCTCCATTTACCCTAGAGTGTTAACTCTGGTACCTATTACCTAGAGGCTTGATGAACCCCGGGAACCACCCAGTTTCGAACACCGGCCGTGGGCTGCAGCGAGTCGCAGCTGGATTTGAAAGCGAGTCTTCTATTGACTGCGCAAATCCCCGCCTTCCCATTAAGTAACATAACACACTGCTGCACATGTTTTTCAGTAAAATTATTAAATCATTAACTAGCATAATCCACTGCTACACACATGATTCAAAATTATTAAGTAACAGAACCCATTGCTACACAGAACCAATGCCATTAATTAATAGGTTTCTTGGGGCCAAGTCACTGCAGTGACAGTCAAGCAATAGTCACGAGGACTGGTAACCAAGGGATGTGCTAGTTTTGCACCTTCTCAGGAGCAATAATTTAAGCAATGTATCACATAAAGACCTACCACAAAATGTGAACAATGCTATCTAAAAGGGTGGGGTTGGAGCTATCTGTGCTAAGCCTACCTGGTTAAAGGCAATATACCAAATACCATCTGGATATTTTATCCACTCACAACTCCATCAAATCTACTTATGACTACACACTAAATAAAAACTTACCTGAGTTTTTGTGTCTGGTCGAGCCCAAGGTAGCCCACCTGACTTTCTCAGCTCAGCTATTTTTCTATTCAGTTTATGAGAGAGAAGAATGGTCAGTGGCATACACTCATCTGTTTCATCTGTAGCGTAACCAAACATGAGTCCCTAGAGAAACAGACAGAATATGAATAACATGCTTAAACTGTGTGCCACTAAAAACAAATAAGTAAACCTTCCATGTTCCTAACCCCAATCAAACAATTTTGGTTTTTCAGATAAAATTCTTTTTTCTTGATCCTTTTAAATGAAAATCAATGCAAATTAAAATAAAATGTAAAACAAATCATTAATCACCATGCAGTTATTTGGTTCTGCTTACAATGTTCATTTTTCTCAATTTCCCAGGCCACATTTAGCTGTACCCATACTGCTCCAACTGTTAGTTTAATTCCTTCTTTCTCAGAGTACTGTTATTTCAAGTCACACTAGTCCAAAAAATGTATTACTTAAAGAAGCAAATTATAGGAAAGAGAAAGCTCAACTTAATAAGTCTAATACTGAAAGAGTTAAATACATATATCAGTCATCCCCATGTGGGATGCAATTTTTCGTTATCTGAAGCCCCACCCTGGCTTCTGCCGGGGGCCCTGAATATAGCCAGGTCATAGCCTACCGGCTGAAAGGGGTTTCTGGGATCCTCATCTCCATGGTGGCACTTTGCGCCACCAGGTGTTTATCGCTTGTGTGATGTCCTGGTGGGGTAAAAGTCAGTCAGTCAGTCAAAGAGTTAAATAATGCACAAGACCCTATTTCAAGACAACAAAAACAAACCTGGTCTCCCGCAGGATCGTTCTCCTGCTCCACGCTGTCAGCTTCGTGGTAGAAGTGGCTGGATGAGATGTCCTTATCCGTGGGCTCTTCCACAGCCAGAAGCACATTGCATGTCTTGTAATCAAATCCTAAAAAAATACACAGGGAATCAGTTTTATACTTTATCTTTATCTTCTGCGTTCACCTTTACCCTTTCGCGCCACTAGTAAAAAAAAGTAAAGGACCCTTTTCCACGCCTTTAGGCATATAGGGCATATAGGGCTAGACCTATATTTTTAAAGATCAATCGGCACAAGATGGGTGATGTGGTCAGCATCACGCCGGCCGCCTTAACCTTCCGGGACTGCATCCGGTACCCACTCAAGGCTGGGTCGACCTGTGAGTCAAGGTCATTTTTGAAAATTAGTCCGGCTCCGCCAGGGAGCAAACCCACGACCTTCTGATCCACGGCAAGCGTCCAGCCGCTGGGCCACGGCGACTCCCTTCGCGCCACAAGAATTTTAAAAAAATTACCCTTTCAAAATTTCATTAAATATAAAAGCACCTTTATAGTTCTCTGAAACTACCTGAAAAACTATAGGAAGAGAAGAAGAAACAGAAGAAATTTGGGGGTCTTGGTCAGCTTTCATATAAAATCCAGTGGGGGTAGTTTGAGAATGGAGGTGGAGGCCGTCATTGCAGCCTTCCACTGGCGTGAGAACAATCTGCACACACATATGCTGTGATTGTAACCGACTCACAAAGCATGTTAAGAAAGGTAGAGACAGGTATGCTCTGTGCAGAGTGGGAAGCATCACTTCAGAGGTCCCTAGGTGTTAGTGTCCTCTGGATTTTTTTCTCCACTGGGTAACACTGTCCTAGATTCAGAAATACGGATAAATTAAAGGACCCCTAATTATTTATAAATAATATTATAACTCACTATCAATTAATAAAAATTACAAGCCGCTATAATATAATGTTACTATCATAAACCATTATTAAAAATAATGCTACTATCATAACTTAAAAAACCAAACAATTTTACTTTTATATATGTATGACAATAATGTTACCATTTTAAATCAGTTTTAACACTTCAAAACTATTTCTAAAAAAAAAAAGTTAAAAAAAAATCAATCAGCGATGTTACTAGAGACCACAATGCATATAGTTTCCTGCAGTGTTGCCACTTTTCCTTGACAAAATACATCCAAAACAGAGTCCAAAAATATCTACAAACATCTAAATTTGCATGGAAAACATCTAGAAAAAACATCCAAATAAAAAAGAGTCACAAATTACATTGCAATTGATATGACTTACCCTATAGAATCATGTCCTCATCTTTACTGAAGTCTGCCTCACAAGATCCACAGGATAAACTTAGCTTGGATGATGAATTTGAAGCTTCAGTTCCAAAATAACTCTGGTATGCTTTAGCTGTTCCAATTTCTCTTAATACCCAATCAGGGAGCTGATAAGTGGAACAGCCTTTTCCTACTCTTGTCAGGCCGAATTTTATTGTCAACATAGCATTTAAGAGGTCAAATGTCATCCGTTTCTTAGGTGAAATTTGATAAATTCACTCCAAATAAAAACATCTAGAAAAACATCTACCATCTAAATGTCAAAAATGCCATCTAAATGCAAGAAAAAACATATAAATCTGAATGTAAAACATCCAAAGTGGCAACACTGGTTTCCTGACAGTAAATACAAACAAAAGAATTCACAAAAGACAAAACTCCCATGTTCCAATATACATCAAAAATTTCCATCCCAATGTTTGCACACATTTTGTGTGTGTGTGTGTGCGCGTGCGTGCGTGCGTGGTGTCTTAACGAGTTAAAACAATACAGCTAAGGGACAAAATGAGTTCAAAAAAGTTAAAGGTTAAAGTCGAGAGGATCGACTTCACTGCGCTGGGTTTTATCGCATATGGCTGTCTTTCTTCGCACAAACGCCAGAGCCGGAGCTACGGCGACGATCCCCAGGGTTCTATGTGTAAAAATTGCACTCGTGAATTGAAGGGCACAGCCTTAGGACAAAAGGAGTTAATGTATCAAGTGAGTTGAACTGGATGTAAGCAGAACAAATAGGACTGAAAAAAGTAAAAGAATTATATAGTCTTTAGAATAATACAATCAATGTTTGGTTAGCTGCCCAGTACTAAAAGATAATCTTTAAACCTACCAGACCTGAGGCTCTGAACCTGTCCCCTATACATGAGCTCCTGGGCAATAACGCAAAAAAACCAACATGATATACACAAATATTCGTTACATGCAAACAAGTGGCTAGATCTATCTAGCTGGATCCGCTATCACTACAGACGGTCAGCCTATGGATCATGCTGATATTATCAATGCCCTCAGAGAAATGGGAAGGATAGAGGACTTTGGTGGAGGTGAATCCACATCACTCGCCAGAATAGCAGACTTGGGAATTAAGATCGGCACAGCAAAAAACGAGACGCACACCAGACACGCCAGAAGACTTGTTAATCAACATAGAACTGGTACTATTAGCCATCGGACGTTGGGGTTCATACTGAGGGAAGGATCTGAGCACCTATGGACATGTCCGGAGTGCAATGAGGATAACCTAACTAACTAACTAACTAACTAAGTGGCTAGAATAAGATGAAACTTGGAGACATTGTAGAAAATAGGCTTATCTTTTATCTAGCACCAATATTTCACCTTTGTGTGCCAATCCACTTAGGAGGATCAAGATTGTTTTACAAAGTGAGTACCGGATGGTGCTGTTTGAGGGACACGCCCCCTTCTCTTACTACCGATCTATTTCTAGATTTATAATTTTCAAGATTCTCCTCATTATTTGAGCTGAATGTGTCACTTCAACTGTGAATGAATTTTTCATGACATTATGACTCTGCAGAGTCTGAAAAAAACCAAAGTATCGATCACCTATTGGACTGTGAAAAGCCTAGACCTACTTTATCTTTGTCAAAGTGCTTGGTTCATCAACCGCTCGTTTGACTGTGAATTTTCAGAATGTTTCACGTAAAAACAAATTTTATCCAAACACACGTGGGCGGACATCGAGGAAGAGTCTCCACGAGATCTGATTACAATTGGCTTGTTGTTTTTAGTCTGTGACGCATCACTTTCACGCACTACGCAAATGGTCGAAAATTAGGAACAGCGGTATAGCGTCAGGGTTAATCCTTCAGGGAATTATTTCATCACCATACACATTAAAACATTCCTCCGTTGGAAATGATGCAGACAATGTATCAAAACAAGCTATTAGGCAATCACAGAGGGATGAAGAGGGGAGGTTGACGGGTACATAAAGCCCTGTCTGGTCTGTAAAAATTCTGATGACAGCAACATATTTCCAGTACAAGAATGGTAAATAGGCTACATCTCTCTCTCTCTCTCTCTCTCTCTCACATACACATATACAACAGTATTAGTGTGTATGTAATAAATATGAAGCTAATGATAGCACCCAAATTTAATTACAAAAATAGTAAAGCCTCACCAATAAAACACAGAGAGAACTGAATATGTTTGAGAAGCAGCCCATGATAACATTTAGATCTTTCATGCATGAAGTGACAGTCTACTGACTCACTACGCAGGAATTTCCTACCAAATCTGGTAGCCGATGAGATGAGGTGACCAATCTGAAAAGAACCTATAACTCCATAACTTTATCACTTAGAGCAAACCATAACAGTGGTTGGCCATTTGGTCAGAAGTAATTTGTTAACAATTTAAAAATCAAGGTAACTGGCCCATAGGCAGTATCATTTCATGATGATGTGCCCTCATCCCTGTTTTGGGAGATACCATTCTCTTGTGAATTACAAGATAGATTGCTGAGAGGAGCTGCATGACTAATTGGTGAGTCTTTATGTTTGTACTGTTTTTTTTACATTTTTCTCATTTCACTCTGTCCTCACACATCACCTATCAAACATACACCAACAAAACTCATATCAATGTATGCAGAAATCATTTCAGTTTAAATAATTATGCAAAACTATTCATAAACCAAAAAGTTATTGTGTTTTCCATGTTTCCTCCATAAAAAACGCGAAATGTGAAAAAATAAGGTGGGAAGCAAGGGAAATAATTTGAATTTTTATTGTGGGGTGCTAAAGGTTGAATACCAAGAAGATGGTGGAGAAATAATATCCAGGTAGACTTACAGACTCTTGAAGTCACCAACACGATAGAGAGCGCCAATCACAGAGATAAATGGAGGTGGGTGATAATCGCAGTGCTCAGGGTGCAGAAAAAAACAACAACGTATTTTTAGAAAAATACATTATACACTAATAAAACAACATTACCTTTAACACTTGCATCATAGCCAATGCTTTTAATGGTGTCTCTAACCAGTTTCTGGTAATCCACATGAGCTTTTGATACCACATCTCCACAGACAAAAATCATGCCTGTCTTTGCTGCACACTGACAGGAGACGCGAGCATATGGATCTACACGCAGGAAGGCATCCACAACTGCATCGCTGACTTGGTCACAGATTTTATCTAAAAATTTAAAGTATGTTAGAAGATAAGAGAACAGAAAAAGAACTATCTGCTTAAATCTTAGCAGGGCTTTTATTCTGGGAAAAAAGGTGGCAGTACTCACCATAAAGTTTCTAAAAAAATAAATAAACAAATAAAAAGACAAGGTGCCGGTAGTGTCTATTTTAGCAGTGGTGTACTGCCAGGAAAAAAAAGAGTCCTGACTCTAAGTATGAGTTAGATTATCTTTACAGCACTCCGGACACAGCCATAGGCACTCAGATTCCCCTCTCAACATATTCATCAGCGTCGCACGGTTATTTCTGCCAGTCCTATGTTGGTTTACAAGACTTCGTGTGCCTCCGGTATGCTTCTCATGCTTGGCTGTAATGTGAACATGTTTCCAAAATCTTCAGAACATACTATCTTTCTAAGGGCAATGACAATGTCAGCATGATCCATGGGCCAGCCATCTTCAATTAATGGAGCACCTGCCAGTCTATTAGCTCTTTTATTACCAACAATGCCTGCATACCCTGGGACGAATATGAAGTTAACTGCACAAACAGGAAAGTTTTTGCAATGACTCAAACCACTGTCTGTGCAACCAGCAAGCCTCGACCCGCAAGATCATGTTCAAGGAAACACTCAGCACACACACACACGGGAATAGTCCTGTGATTCTAGCCACATGAAAGCCTGTGTAACCGCCATCACCTCCATCGTCATGCTGCTGGTAGTCATGGAGAAGACACCGCTGGAATCTTGAACTCTTATGCCTGAAGAGCAAGCTGTAAATGCCTGTGCACTCTTATGTCCTCGTACAACGGACCCGTCTGTGAAGATCACATCTGTCTCATCTGACTTGCCACTGATGAGCGCGCATACCTCAGAATTGACACCAGCTGGATTCTGCTCCCGACAACTTCTATCAAGCGTCACGACACAGGAGAATGTGAGATTGGTAAAATTGGAGCCCTGTACTGGCTGCTGGAGATAGGGAGTGCTATCAGTTCTTAATACAAATCAACAAAGCTCAAGACTTAACAAAATGATTATTCAACTACATTTCTAGTGCTGTTTTCTCATGCACTTGTGCTTTATTAATGTTTTCAGCTCATCAATTTAATTACCTAGTTTTTAAAAAAAAGTGACGTAGCAGAAATAACATAAGAAACAGGCTGCCAAAATGATATACGCAACCAGCTCTGACACTAGGTGACTTTAATAGATGCTCTCACTGTGCTGCAGGCCTGCAGGGATAGAAAACTTCTACATCTAGAAAGCTAACATGGCAAGGTGGCTGCCAGAAAGCCCAGCTGGATTATGATATAAGACAGGCTAGGTAAAAGAAGACAAGACTCAAACATTTAGATTAATAACCACTGGATAAGTGTTGTAGTGAGCATCAAAATGGTTTCCTTTTTCCTTACCAGATTTCTTGGAAATCCCTGTAGGTTGGATTATGAAAAGGAAAAAAATCTGCCTATAAGAGGTTTCACAGACATATGACCACTGGTGTGGTAGGCTAGGTTAGCCTTAGCTAGTACAGGTACAACTACTACTGGAAGTACTGCTTCTTCTCTATTGGTTTATACTTTATTATGAAGACTGTTCTTTCTGTGCTGTCATTAACATCATAACAGAGGATAATGATGATAATACTAATACATATTATGGACATTTAGGGATAAATATGTGGTGGTTTCCACTTGTTTTGCTACATCCTAAAAACTCTGGATTGTGCTAACATTTAGTTAGCAACATTTTAAGTTGCAAAGTTGCCAGAAAGCACTGTACCTTAGTGGGTGCTATACCACTGTGGTATATATCATTTTGTGTTGCTATAGTTGTTTTTGTGTTGCTATGCAATAGTTAAGTTTATTTACCCTTTATAGATTATATTAATGTATACCACCTATGGATAGCACTCATTTAAGTACATTGTGGGTACTATTGTGTGGCCTATTGTGGGGAAGAAAGACCCACTGACTACCTCACAAGCATGTTGTAGAGTTCATTAATTGGGGTGGGGGGGGGGGGGGAGATGTCCTTCGAAGTCAGAGTGCATCTGTATGAGTGGAGAGGAACCAACAGTAGTCTTTATATATAAATATGCCAGCTCTGTAAAACGGATGTGCACATAACACTCAAGTTCTGGAACAGGATTGACAACTTTCAGCCAGAGTACTGAGTACAGCTGGTGAAAACCGCGAAGTACAGTTCTTTCCGCGCAGCTACCTTGCTAAGTTCTCGCTTTGATAACTTCACTGAAATGTCCTTTAACTTTATGATAATTAGGATTTTGAATAATAAGCTTGACATGACTGGCCTGGGGGTTGGGGGGGGGGGGGCGGTCGGGGTCTCCTTTATAGTGACGCAGTTCAATGCCGGTTAATAATTGTATTTAATTTAACATCTCGGTGCTATGTCTTTGTTTGTGTGCGCATGAACTGAATTTCCAGTGTGTTGTATTATTAGTAATTAATAATTGATTAATTCTAAAATATTGTATTTACCGGGATGACCCTCGCCAACAGATTCTGAAGTAAATAAAAAAGTATCTGCATTTTTCATATTTTCTGCTGGAAAGTTGCAGTTGAAATTATCGGAATGGCTCATTCTCGGAATCTTTAAACAAACAAAACAACTTTGAACAACCAGTCCCAAAAGTGGAGCCGGCCGGCAGACGCGAGAAGCGAAATGTTGCAGACACCAACACACCGGGTATATATACACACAGGGATGTCTCATTAACTTAAAATGTTAATGTTTCTTATTTATTTTAGAATGTGTAGCATGTTTAACAGTTGATCTTTAAATTAAAAGATTTGCAAATATTATTGCTTTTGAGTTAAAATATTATTTATATAGATATGCTAGGATGTTGAAAATGTTTGTTAAAAATAAGGCTCCCTGTAAAATCTAAAACGATGTTTTCATTGGCTACCGCGCGGTTATGATTCCGTAGTCCAAAATTGTGCGTTGTATAAACTCCTCAGTTATGTGTTGTAAATTGTATAAACTTTTCAGTTGAGTGGTGGAGAAACAACTAGGACATCCTTTCGGAAAATACAGCCGATAAACGCGGCAAAAAGTATTTGCTAAGTTACTCAAGGAGAAAAAAGTTTCGTTGAATGTCTGTCCCATATGCCCCCTACCTTGTCTTCAGGTTACTTTGTAACTGTCCCAGGACTCAATGTAACCTTTGCAGCTCAGTAGGACTGGTGTGCACACAACACTCAAGTCTGGAACAAACTAAAGTCTAGAAGTGAGCAGACAACGACGAATTTCCTTCAGATTAACAAATGGTGAACAAGAAAAATAAAAAAAATAAAAGTATAAAATAAGTCATACAAATAAGAAACTGGTTCTTTGGCTTTGAAATACTGTCTCATCTGAGATTTCATCTGTTTGCCAACATAGTGGAACAGTAAACTCTCTTTCTTAAATGTTCGTTGTATTTTAGCAAAGCATTACGGTCTGATGTGTATTTGTAATTGTTCCTGTGTTTGTAATTCCACCAATGCTTGGTTAATACAAATTTCTGTAACAAATTGTGCCATTTCAGTGGTTTGAGGTGAATTCGGTCCATATTCCATACAAGACCGTTTCCATCTGACGGTCTTGTTCCATAGCTATGGATTCCAAGCTGTAAGATAGACTTGGCTACTGAAGACAACTGGAGGTGGGCGGTGGTGGGGCATGAGCAGTCTCACCCAACCCACAGGATGTGTGTGTGTGTGTGTGTGTTGTCCATCAAGATTATGACCACTCTTTTTCATCAAGAATGAGTACGACGATGACTGATGAGGCCGTTCTTGGACAGTAAGGACAGCGAAAAAAATGTTGTGCCAGGGAGGGGATCTCCTGCAGCCGCCTTTCTGTCCATCCTTTTCTTATTCAGTATTCCTGTTCTGTTTGCTTCACATGTAGCCAAGCTCTTGCGTAGAGTTGCACGCCTTGCATTTCGGTCTTGAGAGGCAGACTCCCAATTGGTGTCATTCATCCCATATGCTTTGAGTGAAAACTTCAAGGTGTCCTTAAAGCGTTTAACCCCTAGGATAGGACATTAGTCTACCTCATAACCATAACGTTCAGCGTGTAATTGTTCCTTTTCAGAAAAAAAGAAAATAGAAAAATTTATTAACACAATCTGTATTCCAAAAAAATGTGACTGGATACACACACACCAAATTCTCTCCTCAAGACTCGCTTCATCGTCCCTCTAGAGAGGGACAATATATTATATTCAGACTAAGGACAGGGCACAACAGATTTCGTCAACATATGTTCAAACTTTTCGCTGTGGAAAACAGAGAGACATGTCCCTGCAGCGTGGCATCCGAAAATGCTGAGCATGTGCTCCAACACTGCCAACTGTATGCTGACAATAGAGACACAAACTGGCCTCTTCCAACCATAATAAAGAAAACGCTGTATGGTACACGAGAAGATATGGACTGCACGAAAGTTTTCATAAAGGATAAAGGCACGTGATATAAGTTTCGTGACGGAATAATTGAAGAAGAAGAAGTTTGTGCTTTATGAATTGATGCCCTCCCCGTATGGGTTCCAAAGTCCCATGGGGGGGGGGGATGCGAGTGCGGGAGAATATTCACACTATCACCTAATAAGCATGGCCTTGTGGACTTATCCGATGTACAATGAGAATAATATATCGATTAACTAATTAACTAATGAACTAACTAACTAGCTATGGTACACAAGAAGATATGAACTGCACAATAGCTTCCATAAAGGCCACCTGCCTCCTAATATACGTTTTCTGACAAAAGGATCGAAGAAGAAAAAAAAGAATACAGGAGAAATGACAGCAATAAGAAATGAAAGATAAAAGAGAAATATGCCTACAAATTGTTTAAAGCCCTTCCTAGAAAATATAAAATAACAGATGAACTAAAATCCCATGCAATAAAAAAAATAAAAAAAATGTACTAAGACTGAAACTTGGAATGACTTATTTCACTATGACAGAAGACATCTGTTCTGCTTGTCATTTTAAATGACTACTCCTACCTCAGATGATGAGAATTAAACAAGCGCAAATCCGGGAAACCCCGTTCAACCGTTTAAAACAGTTACATTAGGGCGCCTGACGGTTACCTAGCAACCTCAAGTCAGGGCAGAGCTGAAAGTTAGAGAACTTTAGGGTACCCCAATGCTACTGTACTGATTTGTACATCTGAACGGGATTCCTGTTGGATTCGTATCCAGCTGGTGTTTCATTGAGCCATCAGTTGTGAATGTAAAGCTATCATGCTGCAATACTGGAGATGGAGGAACGGGGGGGGGGGGGGTGGGGGGGGGGGGGGGGGGACATGTAAAGCAGAAAGGGTTGATACTTTAAATTATGTAAAGGGAAGTAGCTGACAGATACTGAAGCTTCGCCATGGTCACCAAGTAACCCGTAGTCCAGTGTGGGGGGATGGGCTGGTAATAAATACTTGGTAAGTAGGTAAATGCTAAATCTTTGTACAAGTTTATTTATAAAGGTAAGTAATTGATTGATAGTGGGAAATCGCCACGGTTACCAAGTAAGCAACTGTCCAGTTTGGGGGATAGAATGGTAATAAGTACATGGTAGGAAATATGTATGTAAGTTGTACCCCACCAGGAAATCACACAAGTGATAAACACCCAGTGACACAAAGCGCCACCATGTGGATGAGGATCACCCGTGGAGAGGTCCCAGAAACCCATTTCAGTCGTTAGGCAATATCTATGGTTAGACCATATCCCTGTCCAGGCTGTATTCAGGGCACCCTTCAGAAACCAGGGTGGGGCTTAAACAAAAAAATTGCATCCCACATGGGGACGACTCTATAATATATGTGGTAGGTAAGTAATTGCAAAGTTAAGCTAGGGCCTGTTCTACATGTTTTGGGTCCTGTAAAAGCCCTCACATCGCGGAATATAGAGCACGCGATATCACCGGTCGCTGACAACAACGAGTAAAATGCTGTGTGTTGCTAACCGGGAATGAGATTCGAATGTGTACATATTATTATTAGTAGTACATTTTACCCAACTAGGACATCACACAAGCGATAAACACCCGATGACACAAAGTGCCACAATGTGGATGAGGATCACCCGTGGAGAGGTCCCGGAAACCGCGTTCAGCCATTAGACCATATTTATGGCTTGGCTATATTTCGGCCCCTGGCAAGAGCCAAGGTGAGGTTTCAAAATAACGAAAAATTGCATCCCACAAGGGGGTGGACAGTAGTATAGACACAATAGGTACACATCCGATAAACCCCCTTTTCATCCCATTCCATTTTAGGGAAGAAAAAAAAGAAAGAAAGAAAATAAACCTCAACCAGCTGCTATTGGTAGCTGAAGCTGCAAACAGTCACCTATGTAATAATGCCAAAGTAAAATAACATATGTCTGTTACATTTTCTGATTTTAAAAAATGGCCTAGTAAAACCACAACCTGCTAGCAATAATTGCGACGTTCATTTGTGGATGATATATTTTTCCCCTATTTAGAAAACATTCTATAAACGAATGCACCCACTTATCCACTGATTTGTACATCTGAACGGGATTCCTGTTGGATTCGTATCCAGCTGGTGGTTCATTGAGCCATCAGTTGTGAATGTAAAGCTATCATGCTTCAATACTGGAGATGGAGGAACGGGGGGAGGGGGGGGGGGGACATGTAAAGCAGAAAGGGTTGATACTTTAAATTATGTAAAGGGAAGTAGCTGACAGATACAGAAGCTTCGCCATGGTCACCAAGTAACCCGTAGTCCAGTGTGGGGGATGGGCTGGTAATAAATACTTGGTAGGTAGGTAAATGCTAAATCTTTGTACAAGTTTATTTATAAAGGTAAGTAATTGATTGATAGTGGGAAATCGCCACGGTTACCAAGTAAGCAACTGTCCAGTTTGGGGGATAGAATGGTAATAAATACATGGTAGGAAATATGTATGTAAGTTGTACCCCACCAGGAAATCACACAAGTGATAAACACACAGTGACACAAAGCGCCACCATGTGGATGAGGATCACCCGTGGAGAGGTCCCAGAAACCCCTTTCAGTCGTTAGGCAATATCTATGGTTAGACCATATCTCTGTCCAGGCTGTATTCAGGGCACCCTTCAGAAACCAGGGTGGGGCTTAAACAAAAAAATTGCATCCCACATGGGGACGACTCTATAATATATGTGGTAGGTAAGTAATTGCAAAGTTAAGCTAGGGCCAGTTCTACATGTTTTGGGTCCTGTAAAAGCCCTCACATCGCGGAATATAGAGCACGCGATATCACCGGTCGCTGACAACAACGAGTAAAATGCTGTGTGTTGCTGACCGGGAATGAGATTCGAATGTGTACATATTATTATTAGTAGTACATTTTACCCAACTAGGACATCACACAAGCGATAAACACCCGATGACACAAAGTGCCACAATGTGGATGAGGATCACCCGTGGAGAGGTCCCGGAAACCGCGTTCAGCCATTAGACCATATTTATGGCCTGGCTATATTTCGGCCCCTGGCAAGAGCCAAGGTGAGGTTTCAAAATAACGAAAAATTGCATCCCACAAGGGGGTGGACAGTAGTATAGACACAATAGGTACACATC